ATAATATAAAACTGTTGAAACTGTTTGGATGGGAGGAGCCGTTCATCGATCGGGTCTCAGAGACCCGACGCCAAGAGTTGGATAAATTGAAAATTACAAACTATTTGTGGTCAGTGATTGACGTGCTCTGGATTGTCGTGCCGTACATCACATCTTTCGCTACGTTCACCGTATACTCACTCACATCCGGACAGCCCTTTACCGCCAAAACGGCTTTTGTGTCGCTATTTGTCTTCAATCTGTTGAGGGCTCCGATGGGAAGGTTTGTATTGTTTTATGTGATAAATGATTACTTATTTAATGATTATAATAATTATTATATGATATGCCGTATGAAGACTTCCCAACGCATTGACTTCACTAAACCGGGCGCTCGTGTCGTTCAGACGGATCCGCACTTTCCTGAGTTGCGAAGAATTGGATCAAAGTTTAGGAACCGATAAACCGTGTGATGAGAGAAGTGCTGTCACTTTGAAAAAGTGCTCATTTTCTTGGGATTCAGAAGAAGAACTCATTCTTAAGGATATATCACTGAATGTAAGGAAGGGTTCGTTCGTTGCGATCGTCGGAAGAGTCGGTTCGGGAAAGTCGTCGTTATTTTCAGCACTTATGGGAGATATGTATCGAAGAGCGGGTGAGAGGAATGTATTGAACGGTTCCGTGTCTTATGTGCCACAAACCGCTTGGATTCAAAACGTGACGTTAAGGCAAAACATTGTGTTTGTGTCCGACTATGAGAGCGATAAATACGAGAGAGTAGTGAAAGCCTGTGCTCTCGAAACGGACTTCAATTTACTTCCGGCAAAAGATATGACAGAAATCGGCGAAAAGGGAATCAATTTGAGTGGCGGTCAGATGGATTTCAATTTACTTCCGGCAAAAGATATGACAGAAATCGGCGAAAAGGGAATCAATTTGAGTGGCGGTCAGAAACATAGGGTTAGTTTAGCCCGAGCTGTGTATCAGGACTCAGACATCTATCTAATGGACGACCCGTTGGCTGCAGTGGACGCACACGTCGGACAACATCTCTTCCAACAAGTGATTGGACCGAAAGGACTGCTGAGGAAGAAGACCCGCATTTTAGCCACACATCACATCTCATTCCTCAAAGACGCGGATCAGATACTAGTGATGAAAGACGGAAAGATTGTCGATTCGGGCGGTTATGAAGAGTTGTCTGAGAGGGGAATGCTTTTGGAAGAGGCTTTGAATGAATCGGACGACATGTCTATTGGAAGTGGAGATAAGATGTCTCGACAGACATCTCACATGAGTGGCAACGAATCAATTGGTCATTTGTCGAGACAAATATCATTGAGAGAAGACATGAACGAAGAGAAAAAAATATCACAAACAGAGAGGACTATGAAAGAGGGGGAGAAACTGATCGACGAAGAGAGTCAAGAGTACGGATCAATTAATTTCAATGTTTATTTGGATTACTTGAAATATATACCGCTTTTCTTTACACTGACGCCACTCTTGTGTGCGTTTCTCAACAATATCTGCGAAATCGGTGCCAATTATTGGCTAAACATATGGACATCGCGTAACTCTACGCGAGGCGAAGAGACGTCGGACTGGAACCTCTTTCTGGCCATATATGGGTCGGCCATCGGTTTGGACGCCGTGTTTGTGTTGGCCCTACAGTTGGCGATGAGAACGGGCGCCACAATAGCCTCGCGATCGTTGCACAGGGATATGTTGTGTCGCATACTTCGCACACCGATGTCCTTCTTCGACACCACGCCTTTGGGTCGGATTATCAACCGATTCAACCGAGACATGAGCACAGTTGACGAGAATATACCATGGTGCATCATCGAGTCGTTCCACAATCTCATCTATTCACTACTGGTCGTGTCCGTCATTATCTACACCAATCCATATATGGCTGTTCTCACGCTAATTGTCTTCGTTTTGTTTGTCATACTTTACGTAAGAATAATTGATTTGACATTTAATTTGTTGATGTATTTTATAAACAAATCGTTTTGCACTTCAATGCACTCATTAGAGGATCTATTTGTGGACATCGAGACAATTAAATCGTCTAAAATCCATCACTCGATCGCCCATTTATAGCCATTATAACGAGTGCATCGGCGGCGCCGACTCTATCCGTGTCTATAAAGTGCAGCAATTGTTTACCGAAAAGTTGCAACATTTTGTCGACATTCATATCAATGTCCAAAAACACAACTACACGGCCGTCATGTGGTCAGTAGTCGTAGACATCAGTGAACTTCACTTAATCTAATACACAATCTCTTAATCTAATGTGGGTTTAGGATTGATATCTGGACCGTAATCGTGGGTCTATTGATCACATTCTCGACCGCATTGATAGTGGTGTTCGAGAGGAATAGCATGACTCCAGGTGTGGCCGGTTTTATACTCGTCTATTCGGTTGATGTCATTAACAGTATTTCATGGGCTCTGCGGATGGCATCAGATCTCGAGACTAATATGGTATCCGTGGAAAGGGTTAGGGAGTACTCGGAGTTGGAGACAGAGAGGAGTTGGCATTCAGTCAATGAATACAAACCATCCGCCGATTGGCCGACCAATGGTTCCGTTGATTTTATCAATTATAGCGCTTCTTATAGACCAGGACTCGAACCTGTGGTCAAAGGTTTGAATTTAAGGATAGAGTCGGGAGAGAAGGTGGGAATAGTTGGCCGAACCGGTGCCGGAAAGTCGTCAATGACTTTGGCTTTGTTTCGTATAATTGAGCCAACATTTGGTCAGATAATCATTGATGGCGTGGATGTGACTCGTATTGGTTTACATGACTTGCGATCGAAGTTAACAATTATACCACAAGAACCCAATCTATTCGCCGGAACCCTAAGACTCAATTTGGATCCGTTTGAAGAATATTCTGACCAACAGTTGTGGACAGCACTGGAAAGGGCGCACTTGAAGGTAAGGTTGCATTAATTAATTTTCATAATAACATTTGATTATTATTTTATAGGACTTCATATGCGGCACATCTGAAGGGCTGTCGCATGAGATCAGTGAAAGCGGTGACAATTTGAGTGCAGGTCAGAGACAATTGGTGTGTTTGGCGAGAGCTCTGTTGAGGGACACGAAGATCCTGGTGCTCGACGAGGCGACCGCTGCCTGCGATCTGCAAACCGATTCATTAATTCAGACAACAATTGCTGAACAGTTCAGTGACTGCACTGTTGTTTGGCGAGAGCTCTGTTGAGGGACACGAAGATCCTGGTGCTCGACGAGGCGACCGCTGCCTGCGATCTGCAAACCGATTCATTAATTCAGACAACAATTGCTGAACAGTTCAGTGACTGCACTGTTCTGACAATCGCTCACCGATTGAATACAGTCTTGGATTACAATAAGATTATTGTTTTAGACAACGGAATGATTGTCGAAATGGATTCGCCGAAAAAATTACTCAAAAAACTGATTCTCTTTTCTATAGTTTAGCGAAAAAGTTTGGACTTATTGTATGAATTTATTTATAAAGAAAATTATTTGCAATAAAATCTCATATTTCATTAAAATTATACAATTTTTTGTGCAATTTTTGGCATTTCTAGATCAGGAATAGGAAGGGATCTCTGGACTGTTGCATGAATTGTCTATAAAGTCACTCTATTTTCTATACATTTGTGGCGATTATATCTAAAATGATGCCAAAGAAATGGTCAAAAGCCAATACTCTGTAATTTTCAATATTACACTAAATATTTGACAATAAAATATAAATGTTCTTTTATTACTTGCATTCATGAAATTATAATTAATTAATTTTATTCATTTTATAGTTGATTAGTAATACTAATTCTTAAATCGACTGAACTCACAAAATCTACTTTATTGGGTGAGAAAACATTACAAAATACTAATAATTGTAATCAATAATTATGTTGTAAACAGAATTATTATACAATTTTTAATCATTAATTATTTGATTGAATATAATCAACGATATATGTGGAGATGTGGTGCGGATTATCGGCCAAAAATGTTTTGTGATTTCCATCCAATATGTGAACAATACATTTGCCGCTAATTATCTGTTTAGATAAAAATATTTTAAAATCTAGTATTTGATATATTATATACTGTATTAGTATAAAAACAACAACAACAAAATCCACCGTAATATTTAATAAACTCTTATTAAAAATAATAAAGCTTTAATCCGCAAACATAAGAATAATTATTTAATTAATTTTTAATTATTTGTTGTATTCATGAATAAAGAGCTGACGTTTAAAGACAACAATAATGTTATGTTTAACACAAACGTTAGTTTTGTGGCCTTACATTAAGTTTGCTTTGATCGTCATACGGGTAGTCACTTTACTAGACATTCATATCCTGACTTTATGTCGTAACCCGATTCCGGTTTCAAACCCGAGACTCCATTTAAACCACTAGACCTGAACTCATTTGATATGATACTACGTTCGGACCCATTGGGACAAACCTGAATTGAATGGACACATACCTCACTGAAACCGTAGTCGTGTTTTACGGTATGCCTGGACTCACGGTTAGTCTCACCGACGCCGACCAGAGGCTGGTCCGCCCGTATTAGCAGTACATTGCCTTAGAGTCGCTGTCCGTCCATATCGTTACCACCGATTGTATAGTCAATCATGTGTTGCATTTTGTGGACGTGTGTCTTCACGGCAAACATCACCTGATTTGGTGCCAAACACGGGTCGCCGATGCGCTCTATCAACAACTCGGCCACCACTCGCTCCCATAGACTGCGCTCCACACCCGTCACCGTTTGGATCAACTCTTGCGACTGAATCGATGTCTTGTCCTTTAGAAACGAGAACAATAAACTCAACTTCTGGTCGCCGTTGAATATATGTTGAGTGGCGGCAGAAGACAAAACCACATCTTTGCGGTTCTGTACCGGACATAAGTCCAGAGCCACGAGCTTCGCCTCTGGAAAAGGTTGATCTCCAGACACCGAACCACTACTCGCTGCCCGCTGTAGCGCCAGATACATATCGTAAGCCACAAACACGCCGTATGAATAGCTACACAAATCAAACCCGTCGTCCAATTGGTTGGTAAACTCGCTGTGGATTACGTCCAGAAAGTGTTGCGCCGTCTCTCGAATTGATCCAAATTGAAGACACTCTTCGGTCCAATTGAGTCCAATCACGGGTCGTGTCATACGAGTGGCCACCGGAACGAACAGATGGTAAGTGCCGTCAGTCGGCGGTAAGTAAAACACTTTTCGGCCCTCTTTTATAAAATTGAGAGAAATAAAATTTTCTGTCGGTATTTTAAATACTCGTTTGTCGGCCGACACGACGGATGTATCGGTTATGTCGTGAGTTTTGGGCGATTCATCACTGATCGCCGCCTCCGCCGATGTCTTCTTTTCGCTACCATTACTGGCCGTCGGCGCCGAAGAGTCGATCTGTCGAATGCGTTCAATCGTCAAGTTCTGGATCTTCTGAGTGGACAAAACTAACTCAAAGTCCCTTTCGATCACTTGTTTTGTCTCAACGCTTAGCAGTGAATCCATTTCCAGTTCTGACAAACAGGTCTTCGCGTCGAACTTCTCTAAGTCTTTGTGGCCTAATATACGAGACACTGCTGTCAACAGATTGTTCCGATCGGTCAACGAATCAGATTTGCGAATCAGAATACTGTTAACCAGGGTAAGATTTACGAGGGAGGATGGTGTAGAGGGGAAGCACTTTTTTACCCGTCACCGTCACCGTCGCTCCGTCACCGTCACCGTCGATAAATTTTACATGTATGTTTTATATATGGAACCAATGTAGAATTCATCGCTGAGTTCGAATCTGGAATCGAAAATATTTTATTTCGAATATATTTCGAGTTATTCGACTTTGAATATTTTTTATCGAAAATTTTAAAATGATGCAATATATTAATATGATACATGATTTTGATGTAGAATCAGACGCTGATTCCAAATTTTAAAATATCAATTTTCTATATCAAATACTTTTCGAGTTATTTAACTTTTAACATTTTAAAGTCGAATAGTTCGAAAATTATACAGTTAATTTTAAAACCAATTTGAGAATATTAATCAGCGTCAAAATCTACTTCAAACTCATATTTTATATTAATAAATTACGTCATTTTAAAATTTTTGATAAAAAATATTCAAAGTCGAATAACTCGAAATATATTCGAAATAAAATATTTTCGATTCCAGATTCGAACTCAGCGATGAATTCTACATTGGCTCCATATATAAAACATACATGTAAAATTTATCGACGGTGACGGTGACGGAGCGACGGTGACGGTGACGGGTAAAAAAGTGCTTCCCGGTGTAGAGTCCCCACTAAGTGGTGGTACAAAATTTAGAGTGAACAGATTTTAAAATATGATTTCACAGTGCTGTGTTTCAAATAAATATTAAATTTGAAAATTTAATTGTTTTTCATATAACAGTTTAGAATAGTTAAGAATAGCGACATCTCAGATTATATGATAAAACATTTACAAAATCAATAAAAATACTTTAAAAAATCAATTATTTATATAATGCTTAAAATAATGTATTTATTTCAATTTGGGATTAATAAACAATTCAAAAATACATAATAAAATCAAATTCAAAACAAAAACAAATAATCTAAATAAT